CCCTCAAAAAAATATATCAAATTGTGATTGAGGTACTCTCTGAGGGAGTACCATTACAGCAGAATTTTCTTTTTCTTTTTATTTATTTACTTACTTATTTTTGGCTGGGGCTGGGTTTGAACCTGCCACCTCCAGCATATGGGGCTGGTGCCCTACTCCTTTGAGTCATAGGAGCTGCCCAATTTTCTTTTTTTTTTAATTTTTTTTTTTTGAGACAGTCTGACTTTTTTGCCTTTGGTAGAGTGCCATAGTGTCACAGCAACCTCCAACTCCTGGGTTTAGGCGATTCCTTTGCCTCAGCCTCCTGAGTAGCTGGGACTACAGGCACCCACCACAACACCCACCTATTTTTTGTTGCAGTTTGGCCGGGTTTGAACCTGCCACCCTTGGTATAAGGGGGTGGCGCCCTACTCACTGAGGCACAGGCGCTACCCAGAATTTTCATTTTCTACCTAGTTCTTTTGTGCTGAAAACAAAATAACCAACTTACCCTTTCATTGTGAGAAAGAGCCTCAAGCTGACCCCCTGGGTAGAGTGTTGTGGCATCACAGCTCACAGCAACCTCCAACTCCTGGGCTCAAGCAATTCTCCTGCCTCCACCTCCCAAGTAGCTAGGATTACAGGAGCCAGCTACAAGGCCCAGCTATCTTTTTTGGTTATAGCTGTCATTGTTGCTTGGCAGGCTGGGGCTAGATTCAAGCCTGCCAGCTCAGGTATGTGTGGCTGATGCCTTAGCCATTTAAGCCACCAACTTACCTTTTTTATGAGGATAAAAATTAACTGGGCCCAAGAGAAATCAGAGGAATTGATTATAATATTTGAGATACCAAAGAGAAGGCAAAAACCTTCTGTTGTGTCCTATATCCACAAAAAATGGGAACGCCTAAGCCCTCAAATCCCCATCCTCCTTACCCCACATCATTTGTCTAAGCTCCTGCTGAGCCCACTGGCCCATCACCCACAGAGGGTATTTTAAATTTGTATGCTCTTTTAGAGTCCTCCACCTGTCTCTTTACCCTCAGCAGAAGACGCTACATTCTACAAGTCACAGGGAGGAAAGGTAACCAGGCGATCAGGTAGGAACACTGTTACCTTCAAGTATCTCCTCCTGCTCTCTCAAACCTATCAAAATGTACACGCCTCACCAGGAAACGTGACAGAAGATGTTTTCACTTTGCTTTTATAACTATATCATGCCACTGTTCCAAGGTCAAGGAAGAAAAGGGCTAGAAGGGGCTTGGCACGCGTAGCACAGTGGTTACAGTGCCAGTGAAGGTGGCGGGTTCAAACCTGTCCCGGGCCAGTTAAACAACAGCTAAAAACAACTGCAACAAAAAAATAGCCAGGCGTTGTGGCAGGCACCTGTAGTCCCAGCTACTTGGGAGGCTGAGGCAAGAGAATCACTTAAGCCTTAGAGTTTGAGGTTGCTGTGAGCTGTGATGCCACAGCATTCTACTGAGAGTGACATACTGAGACTCTGTCTCAAAAAAAAAAAAAAAAAAAGAAAGAAAGAAAAGGAAAAAAGAAAAGGGCTAGAATGATCCATTAGGATGCAACCAAGAAAGAGCTCAACCACAACATCATTTCAAGTGGATGAGAAAAGTAGTGGGAACGAAGCCTGACTGTACTGTAAGGTACTGCGAGGTAAAAAAGAGATACCACCTCAAATTCCTTATGAAAAGAGGGAAAGTACAAGTAACATATGCAAGGTATATTTAAGTAGAGACAGCAAACACAGACAACTTTATTTTTAACTGCAGCATAACTGACATTCAATAGACTACACATATTTAAAATGTGTAAGTTCTGACATGCAGTTAAGCCATGAAGTCATCACCACATTCAACAAAATGAACGTATCACCTCCTAAAATTTCTTCCAGCCCCTATGTTATTTCTTTTTTTTTTTGAGACACAGTATCATTATTTATTATTATTATTTTTTGAGATAGACTTTCACTATGTGGCCCTGGGTAGAGTGCTGTGGCATCACAGCTCACAGCAACCTCAAACTCTTGGGGTTAAGCGATTCTCTTGCCTCAGCCTCCCAAGTAGCTGCGACTACAGGTGCCCACTACAATACCCAGCTATTTATTGTTGTTGTCGCAGTTGTCATTGATGTTTAGCTGGCCTGGGGGGGGTTCAAACCTGCCACCCTTGGTGTATGTGGCCAGTGCCATATCCACTGTGCTACCGGCGCAGAGCCCAGAGTATTATTTTGTCACCCTTGGTAGAGTGCTGTGGCATCATTGTTCATAGAGCAACCTCAAACTCTTGGGCTCAAGCAATTCTCTTGCCTCAGACTCCTGAGTAGCTGGGACTACAGGACCTACCACAACACCCAGCTATTTTTTTTAGAGGCAGGGTCTTGTTCTGGCTCAGGCTGGTATCGAATCTGTGAGCTCAGGCAATCTAGACACCTCGATCTCCCAGAGTGCTAGGATTACAGGTGTGAGCCACTGTGCCTGGCCCTTCCCTATGTTATTTCTCTTTCCCACCACTCCTAACTTCTGGAGGTGCACTAAAAAGAAAACCTAAATTTCTTTGCCATAGTTATTAAATTCATCCTTCCCTTTTACCTTCACTGTGACTAAATGGGTTCAGACCCCTGTTCTCCCTCCCCTGAACATGGCAATAGTACTGGTCTCCAGTTTCATGCATCTTGCTCTGTCTGCAACTCCCAATCCAGTCTCTACACACAAGTGCCCCTGTTTAAATTAGGTCAAGTCAAAGGTCCTCAATGTGACCTAAAGGAGCCTATAGGATCTGCATCCTATCTCTCGAACCTTTTTTCTTGTATCAAATACATCTTTCAATATCTTTTCATAAGCTGTTTTCTTGGTTTGGAATGAACAACCCTCCCAGCCACAGGAAATCCCTATTTATCCTTCCAGAATCTAGGCAGGCTGGTGTTTCCGAATCAGGGGCAATTCCACCTCTCAGAGGACATTAGGCATTTTCTGTTATCATAACAAGAAGAGGGACTGCTACTGTTCTATAGTGGGTTGAGACTAGGGATGCTGCTAAATATGCTGTACCACACAAGACAGTCCCCGCACAGAGAACTTCCCAGCCTAAAAAAGTCAACAGTGCAGAGGCTGATTAACCCTGATCTAAATTAAAATTCAAGCTTCCTATTTTCTGTGAAAGTTTTCCTTGCTTGCCATCCACATCAAGTTCCTTGCCTGTTGTCAGGCATACCCCTATTTTAGCATTTATCTAACTGTGAAGTTTTTTTTTTTTTTTTTTAGACGGAGCCTCAAGCTATCCCCCTGGGTAGAGTGCCATGGCATCACAGCTCACAGCAACCTCTAACTCCTGGGCTCAAGTGAGTCTCCTGCCTCCGCCTCCCAAGTAGCTGGGACTACAGGCGCCCGCCACAACGCCCGGCCATTTTTTGGTTGCAGCCATCATTGTTGTTTGGCGGGCCCAGGCTGGGGATTCGAACCCGCCACCTTAGGTGTATGTGGCTGGTGCCCTAGCTGCTTGAGCCACAGGCGCCGAGCCAGTTTTTTCTTTTTCTTTTTTTTTGGGGATACAGCCTCAAGCTGTCACCCTGGGTAAAGTGCCATGGCATCACAGCTCATAGCAACCTCCAACTCTTGGGCTCAAGTGAGTCTCCTGCTTCCACCTCCCAAGTAGCTGGGACCACAGGCTCCCGCCACAACACCTGGCTATTTTTGGTTGCAGCCATCATTGTTTGGCGGGCCCCAGCTGGATTCGAACCTCCCACCTTAGGTGTATGTGGCTGGTGCCTTAGCCACTTGAGCCACAGGTGCTGAGCCAAAGAATAAGTTCTGATTTGCTTGTCTGTCTGCTCCATTAAATTATAATTGCGTCCAAAGCAGAGACGATTGTTTTTTATCTGTAGATCTCTGGTGAGTAACAAAGGAGGGCACTCCTGGGGGGTGCCTGTGGCTCAAAGGAGTAGGTTGTTGGCCTCATATACAAGACGTGGTGGTTCAAACCCAGCCAGGGCCCAAAATTGCAAAAACAAAAACAAAAACAAAAACCAGACTCACTCCCTATTTTGTAATTAAATTTTAAATACCATACTTATATTTAATAATGAATGAACAAAATAGAGAAAAAAAGCACTTATACTCTTGGCTCTACCACAAAAATCCTTTAAAGTTACATAAATAATATATGTTTGATATAAAAATATTAGGAAACAAGCTCGGTGCCCAGAGCCAGTGTTTAGGGCACCAGCCACATACACTGAGGCTGGAGGGTTAGAACCTGGCTTGGGCCTATTAAACAACAATGACAACTGCAACAAAAAAATAGCTGGGTGTAGTGGCTCACACCTGTAATCCTAGCAACTCTGGGAAGCCAAGGTGGGTGGATCACTTAGCCTATTGTGGGCGTTGTGGCGGGCACCTGTAGTCTCAGCTACTTGGGAGGCTAAGGCAAGAGAATCACTTAAGCCCAAGAATTTGAGGTCGCTGTAAGCTGTGATGCCACGGTACTCTACTGACGGTGACATAGTGAGACAGTCTAAAAAAAAAAATTAGGAAATACAAGCAAGAAGGAAAGAAAATAAACAGAAAAGTAATTTCTACATAGGCTGAGGTACCATCTAAAGACAGAATAGATAAACCTATAAAGTAAATGTGAGAATTCTGAGAAGCAGTGCTAGTATTTTTACAGTACAAAGCATATTACGTACTCTCTACTTACTTGAGAACAGCAATCTCTTGAACTGTTATAGCCCTTTTATCTTTGGTTCCCATGTAGGAGAATATATTTGGCTTGACTCTGGCAAGACAGAAATAAAATTATCTGAGGTCACATACCATAAGGAAATCTTATTTCTTGCAATTTTAATTTCAAATATTTATACTTATAAGCATATCTATACCTAAAAAAAGAGCACAGGCTCAGCGCCTGTAGCTCAATGAGTAGGGCACTGGCCACATACATCAAAGCTGGTGGGTTCGAGCCCAGTCCGGGCTTGCTAAGCAACTATGACAACTGCAACCAAAAAAATAGCTGGGTGTTGTGGCAGACTCCTGTAGTGCCAGCTACTTGGGAGGCTGAAGCAAGAAAATCACGTAAGCCCAAGAGTTTGAGGTTGCTGTGAGCTGTGATGACATGGTACTCTACCCAGGGTTACATAGTGAGACTCTGTCTCAAAAAAACAAAACAAAACAAACAAACAAAAAAACACAGTAAGAGAAGAATGAGGAGAACTAACTTTATGTACAAAATGAATCCAGGAAAGCATAACCAATATGTAAGATAGAAAAGTAAATGATGGCTGGGCATACTCCTAGCTACTCAAGAGGCTCATGTGAGAGGATTGCTGGAACCCAGTAGTTCAGTTCAAGGCCAACCTGGGCAACACAGGGAGATCATAACCATTTAAAAAAAAATAAGTGATTCCTGTAATTCATTTTTCAGTAGTGCTCAGAATGTTACTAAATAACTAACAAATGTTCCAAGATGTGGCTAACCAGCAACAAAAAGGAAATAACGTACTTCCTCTTCATCATGTGCAATTTATTAGATTACATAAAACTGTGGCCAGGCATGGTGGCTCACACCTATAATCCTAGTACTCTGGGAGGCCAAGGCGGGTGGATCACCTGAGCTCAGGAGTTCAAGACCAGCTTGAACAAGTGTGAGACCCCATCTCTACTAAAGATACAAAAACTAGCTGGGTGTTGTGGCAGTCACATGTAGTCCCAGCTACTCAGGAGGCTAAGGCAAGAGAAGATCGCTTGAGCCTGAGAGTTTGAGGTTGCTGTGAGCTACAACAGTGCCATGGTACTCTACAGATTATATAAAACTAAGGGGGAAAAGTGTATTCTAGAGATACAATGTACCACTTTGAAAATTTTTTATCTTCAATTTTTAAAAATTTAGTAATAGTGTACAAATTTTTCTTAAATGAAACTACTACTTTGTACAAAAAAACCAAATGCTAAAACAGTGATCTGAACTGTTTTGAAATGAAGATGTAAGTTATCTAGTTAACTAAGAGATATTTTATAAACTTAACTGCTTTTCCTTATGAAAAGGAAAGGAAAGATAGTAAGAATTTCTTGAATCTGGGCAATCCTTGGATCTCAGAGAAACTTCTTCCCCTATTCTCTATTCCCCGGTCAGGAATGGTCTATTTTTCTTGGCTCAAGTATAGACATATCACAGACACTCTCCAAGGAGCTAGTCAATGGAGCAAAATAAATGTTGCTTAATTGAACACTGTGTTATGGGCTCAATTATCTCTCTCAAAATCTGTATGTTAAAGCTCTGGCCCTTGGTACCTCAGAATGTGACTGTATTTTGAGATAGGGCCTTTAAAGAAGTGATTAAGTTAAAATCAGGTGGCTCGGCGCCTGTGGCTCAAGTGGCTAAGGCGCCAGCCACATACACCTAAGGCGGCATGTTCAAATCCAGCCTGGGCCAGCCAAACAACAATGATGATTGCAACCAAAAATATAGCCAGGCATTGTGGCGGGGGCCTGTGGTCCCAGGTGGAGGCAGGGGACTCGCTTGAGCCCAGGAGTTGGAGATTCCTGTGACTGATGCCGCAGCATTCTACCCAGGCGGACAGCTTGAGGCTCAAAAAAAAAAAAAAAGTTAAAATAAGGTTTTTAGAGCATGCTCTAATCCAATCTGCCTGGTGTCCTTATAAGAAGAGATTATGACACATGGATACCAGAGGTGTGCGTGCACAGAAGAAAAGCCACTTAAGGACAAAGTGAGCAGGCAGCTACCTGCAAGCCAAGGAGAGAGGCCTCAAAACACCCCCAAACCTGCAGACATCTTGATGTTGGAACTTCTAGCCCAAGAAATATAAGTTAACTTAACTTCTGTTGTTTAAGCCACCCATTCTACAGCTTGTGGTGTTATGGCAGTCCTAGCAAACTAATATACTGTGTTACCATATTTAAACTGAGCTAAATATATATTAAATTTCCACAGCACATGGATTTGTAACCATTTCTTTTTTTTTAAAAAAAAAGCTTCGGCTTCTAGCCCACTCTCAGAGATTCAGATCTGATATATTTGCATTCCTATGAGAAAATCTGACTTGGGGGCGGTGCCTGTGGCTCAAAGGAGTAGGGCAGTGGACCCATTTGCCGGAGGTAGTGGGTTCAAACCCAGCCCTGGCCAAAAACTGCAAAAAAAAAAAAAAGAAAGAAAAAGAAAAAGAAAATCTGACCTGTCTCAGGTTTTCCATTTTATCAGCTTCTAGGAATTGAGAGCTCCCAGTTTAGTAAAGCCAACTGTGAAATATATACCAACAGAAATTTTCATACTGGCTCGGTACCTGTGGCTCAAGGGGCTAAGGCGCCAGCCACAAACACCTAAGGTGGCGGGTTCGAATCCAGCCCGGCCTACCAAACAATTATGGCTGCAACCAAAAAATAGCCGGGCGTTGTGGTGGATGCCTGTGGTCCCAGCTACTTGGGAGGCTAAGGCAGGAGACTCGCTTGAGCCCAGGAGTTAGAGGTCTGCTTTGAGCTGTGATGCCACAGCACTCTACCCAGGGGGACAGCTTGAGGCTCTGTCTCCAAAAAAAAAAAAGAAATTTTCATCCTGAATTATTGGCAATATACATGGGGATCAAAGAAAATTAATTCACCAATAGCCTAAGATAACTATCACTGAGAAGCGTGCTCACTACCTGTGATCTGTGCCCCTGCTCCTTTTTCCCTCAGCACGGAAAGAGGAAAATACTCCTCTATTGTCTGATTTTGTGTGCACATAAGGACAAGATACTAACCTTAAATATTTGGAGAGTACATTAATAGCATCCATGGTGTCTTTGTTTTCCTTGTACAGTACAAAGTGGCAGTAACTTCCCCTAGATTTTGGCCAAGAATGTTTTCTTGGATCTTAAAAAACAAAAAATGAAACATTATAAATACCATAATAAAAGTTACTTGGGGTTTTTCTTATGAAACCCACTAGAGCTTATTTTTTACTGTAGAGCTTTTCAGTGAGAAATCAGATGTAGTCTGACAGGAAATACAGGATAAGTGGTTATAGCTATGGGGACTACAAGCACTAAACCTATAATTGGACACTTGACATTTTCTGTCCATATCTAAAATCAAAAGCTGAAATGCAAGTGGTATGAAAAGTGACTCAGACTAACCAGCAATCTTCACACAGGAGAGCACAGAGGAGGCCACAGTACTTGTCCAACAGGTGGTTTAATTAGCTCTCTGGGACACACGCAGTCCAGAAAGAAACTGCAAATAGCTGGGAACCTAGGAGGCTTGCTTTATATCCACAATGAGGTGTTCACGCAATTGCAGGTTGGATGCCTTATAGCAGTGGTGGTGGGATGTTGGGTAAAGTTTGTGAGAAGTTGCCTCAGTGACAAGATTAGATTTTTCCAAAGGCTATTTCCAACACACAAGTTTAGCTAATGTCTACCTGACTGAGGAAGAGTAGCTGGCATTCAAGACCTGAGTGTTACTCCAAGGGGAAAGAAAATTTTAAAAATTAATCCAGGTTAAACTTAACTTCAGAGCTAGCGTTACTTCAATTGTTTAACTCTTCTGGAGACTGATAAACATTGTATGACCTTGGATATCTTAATTTTAAAAATTGTTCTTCTAACTGAACATTTCAATTACATTATAATTTAGAAATATATTTAAACAATGTAAGATTTGGTTTTAAGCTGCTCAAAGATTGTTTTGAAAAATCAGTATTTTTGAGAAAAATATGTAAGCCAAAACTGTACTCTGTAGAAACTGTACAATAATATTCATGAGTATGACACTGAACTGCAGTTATTATGTGAACATGTCTAGTTCATTTGATTACTGTTAATTCCATAAAAGAAAAACTACGAAAAGAGATTTCATATAATCTCTAGAAAGAGTCCTCTTCCTTTAAAAATACTCCTTGTCCCTAAAATAACCCTTTTGCATGAACTCATGAGTCCTTTATCTTCAGAGGCTTAAGATATTTCTGGCACAGAAGTTACTTGGATACTTGACTTTTTCAAAGTAAAAGCACTACTTCACAGGTTAGTGATTTAAGGCACAATGTAAAGAAAAGAATCAATTATCTATCTTAGAAAACTGCCACAGCATACATGTCTAGTGAATCACATTTCTGTTCTGATTAATACGTGAGTCTTTTCTGTCCAAGACAAAAGAAAATTACAAGTATTTCTTGGTGTGAACTCCTCACAATATCTTTATGAAGTTGTTGAGTAGGAATAACATTTTCAGTCTTCCTTCTGGCTCACTATCAGTTAAGCAAAGTTGTGTATACTTAGCACTTGTGATAAAAATCACTGGCATTTCACTTTCTCTACATGAAACGCCAAGCCCTCTTACCTGCTGCAGTTCTGACCTCTGTCCAAATGCACAGCATGAAGAGCACAAGAGAGCAATGTTTAATTTATAACATTAAAGTGCTTTAGAGGTGAACATGCAAATGATGGCATGGTAAGTTTACACCGAGGACTTCTACAGCCCCTAGTAGTTATGCTGTGGGTTAACAACCACTCAAGACATAAACAATGGAATGTTGTGGGGGCAACAAGGAGAAAACTCACCTACCGGTACAGCCTCCCTGCCTCAATCCTTCACAATAGGCACGTCAGTTCATCCTCCACACTGCAATGTCTGTACCCATGGGATGTAGCAAAAGGTTTAAGACTAAACACCAATTGCTTCCCCAGCCAGAGATTTGTTTTCTTCAGTATAGGAGGACGTTAACCAAAATGCTATTTGTGATTATGTTTTGGTCATGAGATTGTATTTACTACTTTACTGTGTGTTTTTCTAAGTTTCATTGAGTTTTCCTGCATTGAAATTATAAAATTTTTTTTTAGTGGAAAAATGTTGAATGATTATTACAGAAAACAGTTACCTAAGTTCTTTTTTTTTTTTATTTCTTATAGCATAACTGTGTACATTAATGCAATCATGGGGTACAGTGTGCTGTTTTCATATACATTTTGAAATACTCTCATCAAACTGGTCAACATAACCTTCATGTCATTTTCCTAGTTATTAAGACATTCATACTCTGCTTTTAGAAAGATTCACTTGTACCCTTGTAAGATAAACCATAGAGATGACCCCACCAATCACACTCCCTCCCCGACCTAAGTTCTTTAAATTATAGTTAAGGAAATTTGAGAGATGATTTCAAAAAATCACCCATGAGCACAGTGTTTTGACTTTGTTTTTTTAATCATTTACTTTAATAAAGACATTTTTTAGATAAACTGGATGAGCAATGGTATTACATATTAAGAAGTTATTCTTGATTTTGTTGAATGTGATAATAATAGTCTGGGTTTTGTTTCTAATTTTTTGAAGACAGAGTCTCACTTTGTTGTCTTTGGTAGAGTGCCACAACAACCTTAAATTCTTCAGCTCAAGCAATCCTCTTGGCTCAGCCTTCCAAGTAGCTGGCACCTGCCACAATGCCCAGCTACTTTTTAGAGATAGGGTCTCACTCTACCTCAGGCTGCTCTTGAACTCCTAAGCTCAAGCAATCCACCTGCCTCAGCTTCCCAAAGTGCTGAGATTACAGGCATGAGCTACCACGCCTGGTATATCTGGGGTTTTGGTCTTCATCTGGTAAATATATACTGAAGTATTTATGAGTGAAATGATAGTATATAGAATTCGTTTTAAAAATGCCCCAGTAAGCTCATGCTTATAATCCAAACACTCTGGGAGGCCATGGCCATAGATTGCTTGAGCTCAGGAGTTTGGGATCAGCCTAAACAAGAGTGAGACTCTATCTCTAAAAACAGCTGGGTATTGTGATGGGCACCTGTAGTTCCAGCTACTCAGGAGGTTGAGGCAAAAGGATTGCTTGAGGCCAAGAGTTTGACGTTGCTGTAAGCTCTGACACCATGACACTCTACCTGGGGCAACAGAGTGAGACTCTGTCTCAAACAAACAAACAAGCCCCAGTAAGAAATCAAAGTCGGAAGGATGATGAAACAAAAATCAACAGAATGAAGACAATCTTGAAGATGGTTTATGGGTACATGAAGTTTCCATATACTACTTCCTCTATTTGTATGCCCATTTGAAAATGTCCATAATAAATTTTTAAAAACCCATGATAAAAGTTGATGAAGTATAGCTACATTTTTTCTTAACAACGCCTTCAGTGTATTCACAACTAAGTATAATGGCAAGAAATAAATGAAGCCACAAGAAAATTATATGCTGTTACACCTTAAGAGAAACCATGACAACTGAGTATGAATTTAGGCTTGCAAGCATGCATCTTCTATGAGCAAATCCAAGCCCTGAGCATGCATACAATTATCTCCTCTGCAAATAACAAGATATAAGTATGGATTCTTTTTCTAGGTGCACTCAATATACAAAGTAGTAAGCAAATGCACTGACTGGGAATATTCTGAGTAACAGAAAATCAGTGAGTCTCAATTTATTTTGGGCAATTTGTTTGACTTTATAAAACTCTCATCCCTAAGCATCAAATACTTAGCTTGACAATTTAAGTGAATTTAAAATAATTTGCAGACATTTTAGAGACTCTGATTTACAATGCAAATGCAAAGAAGTGTCAGGCTGGGTAATGGTTCTTATATGCAGAAGGTTGCTTCTACCTTCTGAAGACCTGACATGTCAGTCTGGTAGAAACTGAAAACAGATAAAAGGGAAACCAAGTTCAGGAAGATCCAGGTATTGAGCACAGAGGTCCCCATGAATAAGGAAGGAAAAATGTTTATAGCCTGAGAAAGGTGACAGGATGAGGTAGCATGCAGAACATTCTTTCCTTCTTATTCAAGGTCATTGCCACCACTGGACCTCAGCACAGCAACCTTTCAGCTTCCTCAGAGATACGGCACCTTCTATTATCTTTATTTTATTATTCTTCTACCTGAATTTTCACTCTCCCTCTCACACAATATACAAACACCTCATGACTCTTCTATCTTAAAAGCTGAACCTACATTCCCATCCTTTCTTATTCCCTTTGCAGCTTATCTGAAAGAGCTGTCTGTTTATACTATCTTTCATTCAGTTGGCTGTGTAAATTGGTTTCCAAACTCACCATTCCACTAAAACTGCTCTGGCAAAAAGACAACAATGATTTCCACATTGCTCAACTGATGAATACATTTCAGAGTCCTTATCTTACTGAACCTCTCTGGAGCATTTCTCACGGCTGAGCACTCTGAATCCTGGGACTCCCTATTCTTATGGATTCCTAAAACCAGACTCTTCTAGAAAGCTACTTTGTACCATCTGGTTCTTCCTCCTGAATCTCTGTGGACCCTAGATCCAGAAACTCCTCCTGGGAACTATTCATTTTCAGAAAGAATAGAGAATCTGTACATATCACATGGTAGATTTTTTTTTCTTTTTTTACCTAAAACTTTAAAGCAATGTGCCCTGTCAGACTGGCTAAACTTACAAAATAATGTCTGAGTTTAAGGCTGGGTGTGGTGGCTCATGCATGTAAACCCTAGCACTCTGGGAGGCCCAGGAAGGTAGGTTGCTTGAGCTCAGGAGTTTGAGACCAGGCTGAGCAAGAGCAAGACTTCGTCCCTAAAAAAAAAAAAATAGCTGGACATTGAGGTGGGTATTGAAGTCTCAGCTACTTGGGAGGCTGAGGCAGGAGGATTGTTTGAGCCCAAGACTTTTAGGTTGCTATGAGCTACATTACCATGGAATTCTACCCACTCTACCAAGGGCGACAAAGCAAGACTCTCTCTTAGGTGGTGCCTGTAGCTCAGTGGGTAGGGTGCTGGCCACATACACCCAGGCTGGAGGGTTTGAACCTGACCCAGGCCTGCTAAACGACAACTACAACAACAAAAAAACAGCTGGGTGTTGTGGTAGGCGCCTGTAGTCCCAGCTACTTGGGAGGCGGAGGCAAGAGAATCGCTTAAGCCCAAGAGTTTGAGGTTGCTGTGAGCTGTGATGTCACAGCTTTACTGAGGCCAACATAGTGAGACTCTGTCTCAAAAAAAAAAAGAAGAAAAGTCTGGAGTTTAAATAATTGGTAATTTGTAGTGTTTGGCGACTGTGGCTTAGAATCTGCCATATCTAAGTTTCAGAATGCATTACTTTATTTGCAAAAGTTTAAATTAAGAATCTTGCAATTCTGCTAAAGTCTAAATCATCAATAACAATTTATATTGGGGTTTGTAGTAAAAAAAAAAAGCTTGAAAAATCACAAAATGCCAAGTTTTGCAATGACACTTTTAAAGCTAAATCACTGAAATGTAAAGCAGCCCAGGAGGACAAGCTGTCACTGGCAGTGGGTTCTATTTGCAAGGCGATCAACAACAAACTCCAGATATCACTTCTCCCTCCTTTCCCAGGGCCCTGTTCTTCTGACTGCTCTCAGTTTGTGGGGAGCTGGGTTTGTAGAAGTTGAATGCAAGCTCCCAAGTGCCTGTCTGGCCTGAGAACCATCCTCTCTAAGAACATAAGAGAGATCAGCTCAGATGGCAGATTCAGTTCCTCTTTGAATAAATGCCACATCTGAAACCTAAGAGGTATGGAGCACTATGCAAGGGTTGATCCAGCCTGATCTGCTGTCATTCCTCTTTTTAAAGTGAGAAATTAACATTTTATTTGAACATGTCCAAAGGGAGATAGGAGAGAGCAGTTTATATCACACAGCTCAGTACTTCACTTAGAAAATATAAAGGGAATTTTATTTAAAAAATAAAAAAAAAAAGGAAGAGTGAGTGTGGCCTAAGCAGAGAAAATGTAGATAAAAACAGAATATGAAAGATTTAGCACCAGTCACTGAAAGAAGGAAAAAGAGTTTAAAAAAAAAAACCCAAAAAACTCCCTACCCCACCCCAGTAATGACTACCCTGGCCTGCAAATTACCTCCCTCTGCTCACAAAACTTAGCATCTCTTAAGAAATGATGATCATTTCCAAAAAGCAACCAATCAAAAAAATATAGCTTTTGTCTTTTCTATTCTGCTTCCTTGTGACCACACTGAGCAAAGCAAGACTCTGGTAGCCCTTCCAACCGGAAATACCAGCCTAAGGCATCACTAGAAATCACCTTCTCTTCTTAATAACCAGAATAATTATTTTTTTTATTTTTT